ACATCCCCGTTTTGCCTGTTGAGACTTTGGATTAATTTCCAGGTGGCTATTTCCGCAGATTATTTGAACCAGGTACCATCTAACACCAGGAGCCTCTATTTGTTGTTTACAATTGTGCTTTCCAGACTACAGCTAATGTAAATTCTTTCAGGTGGCTCACTTCTTTCTTTCTTCTCTCTTCTATTTGATGTAAAAATATTTGCAAACTCCAAGACATAGACATGTTGTCTTTCCTACCTAGCCATGCTGCTGGTGGTATGGACTCCATGCTCTAAGACTGAACATTTTTGCTAGTAATGGTCTACTAAATGCTTTCTTTTAAAGACTTTCAGCTGTGGAAGTTAAAAATTTTGTTTGAACCATGAAGTTAAAGTCCACAATCCAAGATATTAGTATATTCTTCTATTAGTTGTTGAGCAACAAACAAATCCTGGTTTCACCCCTTTTTCTCAATGTACAAAGAGCTACAAAAAAGGTGACATGCAATCAGAACTTCAAATATAATAGGTACCCAACAACAATTTACTGAATACACAGAACCAAGCCAAGCCTCACAAAATGTCTGTAAATTCTTAAATGACCTATTTTCCTTATACTGAATTAAAACCTGTATTTTTTAAAGACGGCCCGAAACAAAATAGTTAAAAGAAAACAAGCATACAAAACCTTGATATTTAGCTATGCTAACCACGAAAAAACATGTGAAAGTTTGTTTTACAAAAAAAGCATATACATATAAGCATAAATAAAAAGAATAATTATCCTATACATGTATATAATTTTTCTTTATGAGATAATTTTCCAGAGTAGGACTACTTTTTAATCGTCCCACTTTTCCCTAGTACATTTATGACAAACGAAATATGGTTTGTATCAAAAAGTCCACTGGATCCAAAGCTTGATATAGCTGATGACATCCTATGGTATAATTTCTCAACATATTAAGAAAATAAGCTGTTTCAAGTCAAGATCACAAACAGTAAGTAAAAATTCATGTGGTAACACCAGGATATTCTTTAGAATTCCCAAGTATAATATAAAAGATACTTTAAAGACCTGAGGAGGGAGAGAGAGAAATGGTAGATAGGTAGGTAGGTAGACAGACAGACACAGACAGACAGACATTGGGTTGAACTACATTGTTTCTAAGATCCTTTGAAGCTTTGTGGTTCTGAGACCCTGCTTTACTGAGAAAATTGAAAGCATCAGTTAAACACTTTGTTCTTCCTTCCAGTGCTTTTCAAAATGTTTCTGCATCCACTCTCCATTCTTTCCTTCCTTTCCTTGGATGCCCCAATCATCTGTATTGTCCACACCATGCCTGCTTTTTCCCCCCTAGGGCCTGTCCTTCCTCATCAGCATCTTCACTTACATTTGACTTCTTTCACACAAATTTCTATCCTCCCTCCCTTGAAAAAGGAAAATTTCATTTGATCCTTCAGTCCTCTCTAGCTACTATCCTGTACTGCCTTTTGTTGACACTTCCTGAAAATAACTACCAAAAAATCTCACCTCTCACATTCTTCAACCTAAACCCTGGTTTCTACTAAGATCTTTTGCTGAACTGTGCTCCATGCCTCACCCTCATTCCTAAATACTATTGATGGTATCTTCTAAGCCAGGGGTCCCTAACTCCCAGGCCTCAGACCTGTACCAGTCCATAGCCTGTTAGGAACCAGGCTGCACAAGAGGAGGTGAGTACCAGGGGAGCGAAGCTTCACCTGTACTTGCAGCCACTCCCCAGCTCCACCTCAGATCATCAGGCATTAGATTCTGGGTTCTGGTGCCAAAAAGGTTGGGGACCACTGCTCTAAGCAATCTGTTCTTCTCTAGCTCCCAGGACCTCATTATCTTGCTTCCTTCATCTACCCGCTGCTCTAAACATGGGCACCTCCCAAAGCTCTGTCTTCAGTTCCCTCCCCTCTCTATCCAAATCAAAAGTCGACATGTCCAGATCTGACCTTTCACTTCAGTTTCCATCACCGCCCTGAACCACCTCTCTATTTTGAAGAATCACACCCTGTCCATACCAGCTCACCCACTCTCACTCCCAACCTGCAAAACTGCCCCCAAATGTTTGCTTCTTTCCTAAAACTCTAAAGTTATGGGTGAAAATATGTCTCTCAGCACGTCTTATTTTATTGGTCTTTGGTCACCTTAGTCTAGATCCCATCGCCATTATCTAACATATATATCCTCTCTCTCAAGCCCTACACCACTGCCCCTACTAGACTCACTCCAAGCTCTCATCATTTCTTATCAATAGCATTTGCCATACACTCCTATCTGGATTCTTTGTGGCAAGTCTCTCCCTCTTCCAACACTTTCTCCAGACTGCTGCTATAAGTGATAAGCTTAATGCTTTTGCAAACACTTCCCAGTGACTTCCTAAAGTCCATGGACTAAAGTTTAACCACCTTCAAAAGACTCTGAAGCTCTCAATTCCATCTCCCAAATATGCAGTTTATGCTCCAGGATTACCAAACTAATTTCAGGTCTCTGAACCTAGAATGCTGACTCAAGAAACACCTCCACATGCCCTTTGCCTATGTTCCTTCCCCAATACTTATCTACCTGGTGAGTCCCCTGACATCTTTTAATTCCCAGCTCAACCCTCACCTCCTCTTTAAAGCTTTTTCTGTGTTTTTTTTTTTTCCTATGTAGAGTCCCACTACACCCTAGATATGAGCAACGAGCCTTGTTCAGACTTCTAATAAATCTAACTCCTATGTGTCCTAGGGAGTTCTTTGAGGGAGTGGTCTTGTAATCTCTCAGGTATTACTCCAGCATGTAAAAACTGGGAACATTCCCCCGCAAGTAAGAATCACTTTTCACTTTCTAACTCTCCAGAGCCTTCTCTCAGCATAAGTCTCCAGGTCCTGAACAATGAGAATGTCACATTAATAACACTATTAAAGAAAAGACTACAAAGCGGCATGAGTGTGTACTGTAATAGCATAATATGATATACCTTCTCCACTTCTTATATTCTCAGCTTGAAAAGAGAAGGCACTTTAAGAGTATAAATGAACCAAATATTAACCAGCCTCTGATTTTAAAATAGCCCTTGATCTGGAAATACATGTGCATTCAAATATACACCCTGATAAGAAAGGACAGGATAGAGTTCAATGTCTCAAAGCTTGCTAAGTTAAGTTCCTTGTGATAAACTCTAAAAAGTACAGCACTATTTTTCTAGACACGGTTTGAAAATTCTCATGTCTAAGAAATCCTAACAAAACAGGTTACCTAGGGCAATGCCTACCCTCAGAAAACAAAATACAGCTGGATAGGTGTTAAAGAAAACCAACATGGCAGCATTTTTAAATAAACAAATAAATACACAGTGAGGTAACCCAGTCACAGATAGCTAGAGATAACAGCATTGTGTCAAATCAAACCACAGAAATAGTTTTCATTTTAAATACATTAGGGTGTTAAGAAATCAAATTAATTCAAAAGTTATATTATGCATGACTTCCTGAACATGTTTTCTTTTATTAAAACCTTGTTAGCTTCTTCTGGTTAAGGAAGTTGACATGAGGAAGCTGGTATTTTCTTGGTTCTAAACTATACTCGTGCTAAAAGGAAACAAATCCTAATCTAATTAATTTTTGGTTTAGTTTCCAAGGCAGTTTTCATAAAGACTATTCTCAGCCCACTGTTACTAGCTTTGTAACATTAACCTTCAGTAGCTGGAAACTGTTATATTTTGTGTAGTTCCTTGACACATGTTCTATCAGACTCATTTTATTCTACCTGCTATCAAAGGTAGGAAAAAAGGAAAGGAGATGTCATCTCATTGATTCTGAAGTTTCATTTCTGAAATCACTGTTAAAATTAAATTTATTATTTCATGATACGGTGTGACATGCTTCAGCCAGGGCTTTGTAACTTGGGTTACATCAAGTTCATCAACATCAAGTTCCATGTGGAACCCTCCCCAAATCAGAACTGCCAGTGAGTCTTAGCAACAGTACAAACCAGAAGAGAGGGAATCAGGAAACAGGTTCTAGTTCCTGGGGCTTGACATTGGGCAATCCACTTCACTTTTGTAATTCAAACTTCAATAACTGCTTCCAAAAAAGAATGCTTCCAGTAATAGTTTAAGCGCTTTGAGCTTCTAAAAATAAATGGAATTTTATTAACAGAAGATTTTATAAAACGATCTATTCTCTGGCCCAATTACCTAAACCATCCAGTCCAAAAGGTAATAAAACTGCATTGTTTTAAAAAATTCCTACTTGCACCACTGCATTATCGAATTAGCCTACCGCTGAATCTCTGTCGACCTTTAAGCAGAATAGTGGTATTACATCTACTTATTCTTAAATGTGAAGCAAGGGTAATCCACAGAAAGGGAGTTAAAAGTCCTCATGAATTAACCTGTCAGGTCAAAGGAAATCTACTGGTAGACAGAAGAACTGCACTGTCTGCGGTGGACTCAAAAGAAGCAGGATTACAATTCTGTCACGTGTATAATACTCCCAAATCTCTAAAATCTATCATAACTAAAAAGGACAGAGGAAACGAAAGTGCTCATGGCGGAGCGCCAGAAAACAAGCCTCCAGCCTCAGGATCCAATGACATGTTGGAACTGAAGGTGTTTGTCCTAAGTTTAGTCCTTATTAACTTTTTTCTTCGGCCGAGAAGGTGTGAAGTGGCAGCTAGCTCCTAGGATGCCAGGTTCCATCCAGATTCTAGCATAGGTCCCAGATCCCGCGGAGGGGGAGGGACTGGAATGGGAAGAAACTAAATTGTAGTCAAGGTGAACCATCCAGCCACCCCGGCAGCGGCCGCGGTCATCCTGGGAAACGCACCATCACTGGGGTCCAGGTTCTCGACCCAACTCAAAGGAGGAGGAAATAATGCCAGGCTGGGAGGAAGGCGCGGCAGGCACACAGCTTCACCTGCATTCCGTGGGCCCCACCCTTGTTCCTAGGTGTCTTGGCCCAAACCAGGACCCAGCCCGGGCGTGCGCCTCTTGCGGCTCTACTTACTTTGTCACTGGTGCTCTCGGTTTCGTGGTCGCCGCCGGCCGCCTCTCCCTCGCGTGGTGGCGGCACCACCGCTCCCCCGGGGCCGGGGCAGCCTCCCCGGTGTCTAAGCTCCAACATCTCCCGATCCCGAGCTACCGTGGCGGCCTCCAGCGCCCCGAAACCTGAACTGCTCGAGGGGTCTCGCTGGCTGGCAGCCCTTCACCCCGCAGCCGCGCACCAGACGTCCAGCAGAGCGGCGGCCGCTAACACGCCTCCACCTTGGAGGCGTCGCCGCCGCGCCAGGTCACCCCCAAAACGGCATCAACGAGCGAGCGCTCGAGGACGCCTCCAGCGAGCGCGGCTCGGAGGACCCGCTCAGGGTGCGTGCGGGCCCGAGCGGAGAAGGCGGGGACTCCGCGGAGCGCGGCGCGGCAGCCGGTTACCAGGTGTGCGTCTGCACGCAGAGGCCCAGGTGGGAAGAGAAGAAGGGGCGGGGAGAGAAGAAGGAAGCGTGACCCGATTTAGCGCTTCGCCGGGCGCCCGCC